CTGTCTTCATTTGTCCATTCTACTTGACTGTTGCTGTTCTTTCTTCTTCAGCTACAATTGTATTATTGGCTACTTACATGTGGATCATTGACACATTTTTTTATTGATTAATGTTACCATAATAAATCATTTGTGAAGTTGTTTGCCAATTTTAGAATGCACCCATTTTTAGTAAAATTTGATTTCCATTACAACTTTCAATGCTGATAGTGGACCTTGTATTCTTTTAAAAGGTGATTCTTTCAAACTCATGTTTTGTTCTTGTGGCAAGTAAAATTAATGTTATTCTTAACATTTGTAAAATGTGTCCCTATTATGATTTTCAGTTGAGAGCTCTCCTATCCGCTGAGCTCCCAGATGACCTGTTGGAGGATGACAGCGCGTCGGCTTCCTCGCTTTCCGACAGCGGACGTCTCTCCGACAGCGGGCGCATGTCCGACAACGACATGCTACGGGACAAGAGGCCAAATAGGTATTATTTTGTATATGACAGTGACAGAATGCTACAATGTGACATTTTGGCATGTTATGGTAACAACATCTATTTATTTCTTTACCGGCTTGGCAATATTAGCCAGGTGTGCCAGTGTTTTTTTTTTACGTCAGCTGTACAATGTAGTCCTAAATGTATCTGTCAGCAGCAACACCTTGCAAATCAAAAGCAGTCATTGTTGTCCAGAAGGTGACATGCGGTCACCAAAATGTAAAAGCCACTGGTTGTTAAACTTCGAACAACCCTCCTGTACATGACCGCATAGTCTCTTGCCAAATGATTCGTTGATGTGAGCTACTGCATTTCAGACTGAAATAGGGATAGGCTGAGTACATGTAGCTGTTACAGATTACAGCAAATATTTGTATAGCTTTCCTTACATTGTCATTTGCTGCATATTCCAGACTGAAACAGTGGCAGGCTGAGCAGCAGTGGCTGCACCAGGGTGGGGGAGGGCTGTACACATCTACCCCTATGGTGGGGACTAACGCACCTCCACTCAAGACCCCTGGGGGAATGCATGACTATCAGGTACAACAGTTACTGATCCGTAGATCTGAGATATACTAGTACTCTGGATAAAGAAATAAACTTGAAACTGCTCTCTAACACACAGGCTGATGTTTTAAATTTTTTTAAAGTTCTTTTTCTCTTAACACATAAGGTCAATGACCTGGACCAGATGTCTGTCACCATAGTAGTAACTGGCGGTATAGCAAACACTGCGTGTGGTGTTGGATTGCATTATATAGCGTTACAGGAAAGAGTGGAGGGGCTGGCCACCATACATGTACATATTAATGTGTTTGAATAAGAATAAGGTGTGCAGTACATACATGTATTTGTTGGGCTAGACCATTTTTGTGAAGGTAAACATTCACTCATAATGCCTTTGCTTCGAATAGTAACGTTACCTTAAAAAGTTAATACATAGTTTAGTCTCACTCATGTGTCCTGCCTTATAATACAGACTGGAGTGAGTGAAGGGCAGTACCAGCATCCTGACCAGTACAGTTACCATGGCAACGGACACTTCCCGCCACAACAGTACATAGAACACGGTTCCCATGGAAACGGCTATCCCCCAGTGACAGGGTGGGAGGGGCAGTACGAACCACAGCCAGGGCAGTACGGCAACACGGTTAGTCTGCATTTTGTGGGAAAAAATAATGTTTTGGTCTATTTGTTCATCTGATCCTACCATTCCAAATACATACCGTTAACAGTGGTAGAAATATTATTATACTTTTTTTTCAGTGTGCTGCAATATTGCAGAAGGTCATAATTTTGTTCTACAATTCAGAAAGTAGAAGTCTTTCTGCAAATACTCACCACTTAAAAATCTGACATATACAAAATTGCATGTTGTCAAACAAAATTACTGATATTATAGAGTCAGTTGAAAACACAAAAGCTCTAAAACACCATTGAACACCTAGCCTGATTTTTTCAGCCTGCAAAATTGCAGGTTGCTTAATTTTTCTTCTGCAATATTGAAAATGTCTCTACAAAATGCAGACTGCAGATGGGTAGTTCTAACACTGATATTTCTGTAATATTTCAGGATGAGCACGGTGCGTTTGACTACCAACAACGCGGCGAAATCGACGGAGCGACCAACTCAGATGACTGCGGCAGCGTCAACGGGCTTTACCATGGCAACGACCACTACCAGAACTACGGTCGCCACGGTTACTACCATGGCAACAATGGTGACGGACAGCCGGCCCCACAGGAGTTCAATGGCTACCATGGGGGCTATGAGAATGCCGATTACGGGTACCCCTATAGGCAGGAGAAATACCCACCGGAAGGGTTAAGAGAGGTGTCACCCGGACAGGTTCAAGATGTGAGTGAAACACCCCTGTCCCAGGGAGCTAATTACATGTACATGTATTAGCCAGAAAAGCTAGTGGGAATGGCCCATGTAGTTTAGGAGGAGAAACGTTTAAAAAAACTTGTGACATAGCCCACCTTGTACATACATTTTTGTACTATTGTACTATAAAATTCATTTGTACTATAAAATCATACCTTGATGTCTAGGACCTGAACATTTTCTAGGCTTCTTCAAGAATCTCCTATTAGATTACTGTAACAGTAACAGTGTGTATGGTGTTGTAATGTTATGTACTATGCTGTACTATGTATTTTTATGTGCAATCAATTTATAACTACAGCAATGCAAGTCCATCTTGAGCGCTAACTTAATGGTATTTTTGAGGGCTTCGTGTGACTAAAAAGTATTTTAGCGTCTAGCCTCCCTCCATTGTTGAAATCGCTCATCTTTCCTCCCTTAACAGTCGCACACCACAGAAGACTACAAGGTCGTGTACAACAAAGGTCAGGACCTGGGAGAGGGGCATGATGGGAAGGATGTGACACCAGAGAACGGGGTCGAAGTTCAGGAAGACAAATTTGAAAGGATGCAGAAAGAATTCCTCGACTCTGGTCAGTTGATTTTTATAACTCGTGTCAACTTATTCATGCAAATGAATCCAGCAACAGATTAAAATCAATTTTAGTGTTCTTTTTTAAAGATTCGGTGACTAAGTTTAGTAAGTTTCAAGTAAGTTTCAAACTAAAGGATGTTTTACTCTGTTGTTCACTGTAGGCACACCAAAGCTGTTCTCTGAAGGTAAACTTAAGTCATCAAAACTAAACACGATATTTTAACATCAGCATTTAGCCTTAAACATCTACACTTTTCTTTCCTCAATGACAGCTTTACTTGGTGTCAATTGTGCATGGTGGTAGAGACTAGAAATAATCTAACATTATCTAGAGACTAATAATCTAACTGATTTCTTTTACAACAGCTGAACACAAACGGAACGTTTAGCATATAACGTATGTGATGATTAAACGTGTGTGTACAATTCTTAACCCTCAGCTGGAATGGCTTCCTGGAGCTTGTTTTAACTTGCTAACTACATGTAGCTTTTATCTAGCATTACTTTAGTTTAGAAAAGTTGGGATATTGTTAGGTTAACCTTACAAGGCTATATTAAATTTTATATAATCATATGTAAAACTCAGATTGTTTGTACATGTACAGCTGTGTTTTATAAGACTTGTTTTATCATTGCAGTTGATCCCTATCAGCAGCAGACTAACATGTTTGTTTGTTTGTTTGTGTGTCAGGTGCAGGTGACGGCCGCCAGCTAGCACAGCTGCAGATTCTGTATAAGGCGCGAGGTAGAAAGCTTGAGGAACTTACTCAGCAGTTAGACGTGCTACGGGAGGACTCAGCTCGAGAGAAGAGAGTACTCAGTCATCAACTCAACTTGGCAAAAGGTGGAGCAACATTTTTTGTGCATTTGTTCTTCTACGTAGTTTTAAGTATAGAATCACAGTTCAAGTTTCTAGAATTTTAAATGTTTGTAGGTCTCAAAATTTTTGCTCAATCATTAGCTGGCCTTGGCAAAGGTTTGTCTACATTTCCATAGTTTCAGACCTTGTTAGACATTATTTCTCTTAAGTTTTGAGTGGTTTTAGGTCTCAAAACTTTTCTTGGTTTTGCAATGCTGTTATGTTAGTTGTGGTTGTTAAAAAAAGTTCCCTCTCAAAGAATGTTGGCTTCCTGTCTAGGCTACTGAACATGCGGTCTAGAGGTCATGGGTTTGATCCTTTGCATTCCTGGCTAGGTGCTGTGGCCTTGGGAAAGGCACTCTACAAGACTTTCCCCCACTCCACCCAGGTGTAAAATTGGTACCTGACAGCTATGGGTGTAGGAGTCTACATCTACCTTTTCACAACTCTGCCATCTATTCTGCCACCCTTTAGGTGAGAAGGAGGGTATGCAGGCCAGTCTGCATCAGTGTCAGCAGCTGCTGCAGGAGACTAAGGAGGAACTGCAGACTGTGCAGGGGAGGGTGTCTGCAGCAGAGACGTGGGCACAGGCAACAGAGACGGCTAAGGGGGAGGTGAGGGGATTACTGTATCCAAAGCTGTGCCTATCTACATGTAGTTCTGTGCCTGAATGGGTTAGGTTTAGGATCAGGAACGGTTCTGGATAGTCTGTATTGATATCGTATCCAGAACCGTGCCTATCTAGTTCTATGTCTAAATAGGATAGGGTTAGGATAAGGCACGGTTCTGGATAGTCTCTATCAATATCGTATCCAGAACTGTGCCTATCTATAGTTGTATACCTGAATGGGTTAGGGTTAGAATCAGGCACGATTCTAGATATGCGTGTGGACTAGTATATTTGTACGCTTGAATTTTACTGTACACAGCATCTGTCTTCTCTGTCATGACCAGTGGAAGTTCAGCTCTTCAATGAGCTAAAACTAAACTGGATGGATTTCATCATCTTCATCCTCATTATGTCTCTGGATAATCCGGCGAGATACGTTTGATAAAGTCACTCCAGTACTCCCTGTCCCTCATGGTGGACACTAGAGCAGACCCTGCAAGACTAGTGTCTCCTAACATTGACATTCAAGATCACTTCCCTTTCTTTTTTTAGATGCTGAAGAAGCTTCAGTCAGCAGAGTCCAACATGGAGAGTCTGAACCAGCAGCTTTTGGAGCTGGGACAGTCGGAGACTCTGAGCCGTGCGAGGGACCAACATGAGGCTGTGGTGTCCACACTGCAGCAACGATACGAACAGGAGGCACTGCAGCTTAAAGAAAAAGTGGACGAAACAGCTGCAGCCTTGGAACAGGAGGTGAGTGTGGTTACAGAAGAATTATCTTTACCTAAGCAGAAGGAAAACACATTGTTTTTGCTCAGAGTCTTTTTCTTCCTCTTCTTCTTCTCCAAACAAAGTCAATGTCCTGGACCAGACGTCTGTCACCATGGTAACTAGCATTGTAGCAGACTGGAGTCAGCCTGTGGTGTTGGGTTACATTATGTAGCAGGTCAGAGCTAGACTTGCTGGTCACCATATATTATACATCAATGTGTTTGAGTAACAATAAACAGAGCAGTAGTTTGTCTGGGTAGACCAATTGTGAAGGTAAACATTATGTATTTCCTTTGCAAATGTTTCCTTTCTAGCATTAATTTTGTTTTGTTAATTTTGTGTAGAGAGAAGAAGTGGAGAAGCTCCAGAGAGAACTCCAAGAGACCAGGAAAGCCGCGGAGGAGGCACATTTCGAGCGAGCGGAGGTCATGAACCGACTGACCCGAAGTCTGGAGGACAGTCAGAAACAGTGCAGGGAGCTGCTACAGACTGGTACGTTTTAACCTTTGGCAAGCTTAGGCCACACTGACTTAATCTTATGAATGACATCCTCTGAAGACCCTCATACTAGTGCGCGCGGGTGATTAAAAAAAATTCCAGCCCCCCAAAAATGCTCCCAAACCACAGGAATACAAAGCTGGGATTGTGAATTTGCAGTAGTGCATAGCGACTTTTACGACAAGCCGGCACATGCTGGCCCTTTGTGGCATTTATGAGTCCTTGCTGTACTTGAGTTCTGTGGAGCTTCGGCAGCCTGGGTGACATCCTCTGTAGTTACCGCCGGCTCCCTATTGTCACTAGCTACTAAGTATCATGGATGGAGGATGGTACCCAGGCCAGAGCCTAAGAGAAGCCAAAAAACCTAAGCCTAAAAAGCCAACAGTAAGAGGAAATCTACAAGTTAGACTTTAACTCAAAGCCATGCATGTTGTTTTACCATCTGTCTGTTTCGATGTTTTGTGTTTAGGTACTGTACAGGAAATCGGGCAGTTGAAGATCCAGCTTCAACAAGCCAACACTGCCAAGGCACTGAGCGAGGGGATGTACCAGGCTTTACAGGTAATTGTTTAATCACTTAGTATTGGAAAGAGTATTAGAGAGAAATTTAAAGAAAATGCTTTGTGCTGTCAGTTAGGATTTTCACCCTTTAAAACTATTGCAAACGTAAAGCATAATCCTGTACTAGTCGTGACATTTTTTGTCATTAATCCTGCTATTATGCATTGATCATCCATCATCATTGCCATTTTCTAAAGTTGTCGGAATCACCAAAATGTTCTGGCTTACTCTTAAGTAATGGAACTTACCAGAATTTTACTGTTGTGTTGTAGGATGAGTTGACGGAGTTGAAAGAGCAGCTGCAGATGTACGAGAACGCTGCCCAGTTCGGAGTGTTCGCCACCCCGCCCAACGACTCTCACTCCGACTCTTACGTACAACTCGGTATCAAGAAGGACCTGGACTGGAAAACTCCTAAGATCCACAGGTGCAGCATTTTGTATTGAGATATATCATGCAAAAAGTGGTGCAAATGAGCCTAAGAAAGGCCAAATACCTTTTGGATCACTGATAGTTGTGTCTTCACATGCGCGCACACACACACACACACACACACACACACAGTCTTGAGATTACCATGTAAAAAGTGGTGCAAAGAAGCATAAGAAAGGCCAAATAACTTCTGAATTACTACCGTTCTTCTTTTTTCTCTTTACATGTAGTTTCTTTTTTTTTTTACTTTTTTACTTTTACCTTATTTACTACCAGACTGTAATTGAACAGCAAAAATAAGGATGACAAAGTTGTCATTGATGCAATTTTTTCCCTCATATATTTGAATGTAGCCTGTTAATTTGTACCTTTTATCAGAGAGACATATAGACTGAAACCTTACAGCAAACCTAAGGATGATAAAATAAATGTCATTGATGTACTGCACAAGAACCACAGAACAGGCAAATGGGAAGCTACCATCAAGCCTCAGCATCAGTGCGCGGGCACGTCTAACCCTCGGAACATGGTAAACAGATGTTAAACCGAATAGAGAGTTTCAAAGTTAATACTTTTCTAAAACCCTTTCCAGACCGAATGTCTGTGACAGCCTGACCCCAGAGGAAGTTGTGGTGGGACTGAAGGCGGAGTTGGAGCGATCTCTCAGCACCAACCGCTCCAAGCGAGGTCAGGTCACCAGGCTGCAGGGCGACCTTCGAGCCATGAAGGCCGACCTTGAGACCTGGAAGGCTCGAGCAGAAACCTCAGAGAGAAAGAGCAACGACCTAGAGGTGAGGTCATTGAAAAAAAGATCTGAATAAACAACTTTTAGACCTGTTTAGAGTTAAAACTTTAGATCCAACACGAAAAGTTCTCTCACCTAGAGCTTTCGACCAGTCACTCTGGTCTTCCTCAGTAGACTGACCCAGTGAGACTTGTCACGTGGCTTCTTTGAAGTGTGACACTGGGTCAAATGTATCTGGTAGACAATGAAGGGGGATGGGCCCTCATTTATATAGCCTCCTTCACCCCTCTCAGGAAATAGTCCTGTTCACCCTAACTTGAAGATCTGAATAAACAAACAAAAATCAAACCTATTCTTTGGTGCATGAGAACCTACATCTATAGATTGAATTATTTTGGAAGTTTCCATTTTTGTAGAAGGGGATTTCAAAACACTCCATTTTTCAAGGAGAGGGACTAGGGTGAAATATGTTGCATTTGCTTGCAATTTCAGTATGGAAAGTTTCAGCAAGAGGACCCAAGTGTAGTAAAAACCATCCATAACCTAAAAAGCAAACGAACAAACCAGTCAACAAAATAACACTTAGGATAACATCCTTAGTAGATGTACAATGTAATAATAAACCAGACACAAGAAAGATTTTTAAGAAAAAAGGAAAATTACTTCCAGTCCAACTTTTTACGTTTCCTTGCTGTGCTCCCAAAGTGAACCCGAGTAACTCCAGTTCATGAAATTAGCAACCGAGGTATTCCAACACCTATTCACACCTACAGTAAAAATGCCCCCCTACAACGATCAGGCCAAAGACTTTACAAACAATTAAAAGATGCTTTATTTTTGCCTCTGTGTGCCTGAACTGTCCAACCTTTTGTGTGAAGAGTTTTGTTTTGTGTAAACGGGTGTTGGGGAGTCATGACAAGAGTGTTGTATTGTCTGTTTGTTGTTATTTCATGGTGATACGGTGTTAAACACAGTTCAAACTTTTTGAGTGTGCTTACAGTTCGATCTTTTGTCTAGCTTTGTCGTTGCTTTGTGTTTTAGAACAAGTTTTAGTCTCTGTTTATTATTAGTCAGCGTTGAAACGGTGCTCAACACAGTTAAAACTTGTACTGTAACCAGGCTATAGAAGGGATAGGGTGTGTTTTGTAAACTTCTTACACAAAGGGTAGTGTTGAATAAGCTTAGGTAACGCCCTAAAACCGTCTGACGGTTTATTCAAAGTAACTCCCTCTAAAATACAGAAACTAGAAGGCAAGAAGTGTTTTGCTTCTTGGGTTATTCCTTATTTTACCAACTTTATACTTGCCTGAAAGAGTTTTGGCTCTTAATGTGAAAAAATGGTAACATATAGAAGCAGCAGTCAACGGTTTTTGGCTGTCTTAGAACGTCAAGGCATAAACAGTTATGAAAAGTGCTACCTCATGAATTTAATGTTAGGAAAGTCAGTATAATTCAGTACAAAATGGCAGATGAGGAAGATGCAGATGACAGTATTCCTGAACAGGAAGCTGAGCTGTTGTTAAAAACTCTAGAAATCCAAACTCTGAGGTCTACACTTCTGAAGGTAAGTCCAAGGGTGAATCGTTCGTTGTTTTGGTGCTGAATTCTGGCGCAACGGCAGAGTACTCGATTTGGAACCAACAGGTCCCAGGTTCGAGTCCTGACATGCCATTGATCTTGTGCCTTGGGAAAGACACTTTACACAACTTTCCTCACATAACTCAAGTGGAAATGAGTATTGCCTGTCCTGTATTTGTTCTATGTGTGGGACACAACACCAGCAACAGCAATAAACCGAAACATCATTTTTTCCCAGATGAAGGTGAAAACTCTGGAGCGTGATCTTGAATTGTCAGTACCGGGTGGATCTTCAGCAGGATTGGACAGGCTACAGAAGGAACTGGACACTCTACGGGACCAGTATAACACACTAGACAGGGAATATGAGGTAAGAATGACAAAAATAAAAGAGGTCGTGGGGTCGATCCTTGCCATTCCTGGTTTTATAAATAGGGTGATGCAAGGTCAGCAGTGTCAGTAAGAACTGGACACTCTGAGAGACCAGTATAACACACTAGACAGGGAATATGAGGTAAGAATGACAAAAATAAAAGAGGTTGTGGGTTCGATCCTTGCCATTCCTGGTTTTATAAATAGGGTGATGCAAGCTCAGCAATGTCAGAAAGAACTGGACACAGAGACCAGTGCAACACAATAGACAGGAAATATGAGGTAAGAATGGTCGAGTGGCTAGGCTAGCAACACAAGAGATCGAGATTGTCATGGGTTCGCTTCCCAGCATTTCTGGTTTTTGGATTAGATGGATACAGGCTACAGAAGGAACTGGACAGTCTGAGGGACCAGTACAACACACTGGATAGGGAATATGAGGTAAGAAATGCTGGGCTAGTGAGCAAGAGACTGGCATTCCCTAGCCATGTTTTGGGGCGCACTCACGTCTAGCAACACCACCTAGTGGTGACATGAAGTACTGCTGGTTCAGTTTGTAACATCAAAATCAAACACACCCTGTAGGGCACATGTAATTTGTTGTATGATAGTTATGACATGACCAACCAACAAGGATGTAAGACAGCCTTTTCAGAAAACTAGAGAGCTGAATTTGGACACATGCATGAGTATTTCAAAAATGTTCTCAGTTTGCAATTGTAGGACAACCATTAAAAAACTTGTAGTCCTCCCTTTTTACATCAGATTCTGTTCCTCCTTCAGGATGTGAAGCTGCGTCTTGAAGAGGTTTCCTCAAGTGAGGAGCAGCTGAATGAACTGAACCAGCAGCTGAAGAGAGACATGGCTCAGATGGTATCAGAGTTCGACCAGGACAAGACCCAGGCTGTGGAAAAGTAGGTGTACAGAAATTTCAGCCTAATACCTGCAACCCTAATCTTAGTCCTTGTGGATCCGAATTTTGAGTTTCCCACTATACTAAATTAACAGCTTGCTGATTGTAAAGACAGGTACAGGTAAAGGTTTCAGAAATGTTTTGGACGGTGTAAAACTGTTTGGGATATTTGTTTACGAACTGTAAGTATGGAATTTTGTACATAGAACTAGAGCTACCCTCAAAACTGCCCAAGAAGACCACTCTTCTTTAAAATCTGGCCTATGTACATGGGACTTTTACTGATTGACGGGAAAATTTATCCTAGGAACTTTCTGTATATATTAATTTTTCCTCCCACCAGAGCGCAACAGGCCTGTCTGCAGCTACATGAAGACTCCACCAACAAGCTGAGACATGAGCTGGAACAACAGTTTGCTGAGCAGAGGGACGCTGACCTGCAAGCCTGTGAGAAAAGGGTCGCAGACATACAGTAAGTGTGTTATCAAGACTATAAAATCCACCACCTTTTAAGAAATCCACATGTATTTACATTTTGTAGTAAATGACACTGTTGTCCAGAGTTCAATAATTTAAACTAGAGTTGAACTACAAAACACTAGTTTTTGACATGTTGACTTGTGGTTCTTATGTAGCCTGGTTACCAAACCTATTATAGCTCCCGAGTCCTACATCCTCTGCAAATAGAGAGGAATTGCAGAGAGGATGTAGGACTTGGGAGCTATAATAGGTTTGGTAACCAGTCTAGTACTTCTGGTAGCCTTTGAATTCCTAGGAAACAGGTTTTTTTTTTGCCTGCCCGCTTCATCGATTTCCTGCAAAGATACGAAAACCAACACATTGTAGCCTACTGGAGTATTTTTTACCACAAATACTTTTGATTGACTTTTGTAACTACATTATTTATCGTAAGCTGATGCATTACATTCCTGTTTCCAGGGCTGAGCTGGACCAGGCCTTACAGGAGCTGGATGGAGTGAAAGAAGACTACATCCAGGTGTGTGGAGAGAAGGACTCCATAACGGACAGACTGAGGGAAGAACATGCGGAGGAGATGGAACAAAAACTGGCACAGGTCGGTTCAAACTGTTAGACAAAGAGGAAGAAGTTATGATACAATCTTCCACCTTAAAATTTGCTTGGAGAACAAGAATTTATCAATCAGGAAAGATCATCTGTGTTGGTATGAGTAGTTACATGTTTAGAGTTAAACCTTTAGATCCAACACAAAGTTCTTTCACTTAGAGCTTTCGACCAGTCTGACTGTGACTCTGGTCTTCCTCAGTAGACTGACCCAGTGTTGATGTCACACTTCAAAGAAGCCAGGTGACAAGCCTCACTGGGTCAGTCTACTGAGGAAGACCAGAGTGACTGGTCGAAAGCTCTAGATGAGAGAACTTCTTTGTGTTGGATCAAAAGGTTTAACTCTAAACATGTAACTACCAACAAAGATGAACTTTCATTAGACTGACCCAGTGTTAATGTCACACTTCAAAGAAGCCACGTGACAAGCCTCACTGGGTCAGTCTACTGAGGAAGACCAGAGTGACTGGTCGAAAGCTCTAGGTGAGAGAACTTTGTGTTGGATCAAAAGGCTTAACTTTAAACAAGAATTTATCAAGAACTTTCATGGCCAGTATCTTTGTGGTGTCTTTTTGTGTGACACAATTGAAATCTCCCATCTCTGATGACAGGTTCAGGAAGAATGTGCTCAAGAGAAGCAGGATGCTCTGGAGAGTCTGAAGGTCGACCTGGAGGACAGTCACAAGGTTGTCATGGCAACAGTCAGGGAGAAGTGGTCCAGGGAGCAGGAGGAGGAGATGAGGAGAGAGATAGAAACAAAGGTAGGAAGAAAATTTGTTATGTTTACAGAAGGAAAACAAATTGTTTTTGCTCCATTTCCTCTTCTTCTTCCCCAAACCAATAAGGTCAATGACCTGAACCACATGTCTGTCACCATGGTAACTGGTGTTGGGTTACATCATGGTGTAATTTTATAGCAGGGGAATTTAGACTTCTGTCACCATATATACATGTATGTATATAATTATGAATATGTTTAAGTAAGAATTAACAGAGCAGACCATATATGAAGGTAATGCATAATGCATTTGCTTTGCGAATGTTACATGTGTACCTTTCCAGTTGTATTTATTTTTGGAGCTAACTTGGAAAGGCCCTTCTGAAGTCTAAAAATGGTTGATAAATACAGTTTTCGTATCTGTATACATTTTTGTAGCTGATACATTGTACAACCACTGTTGCTCTTTACTGACGTGTTTTGTGTCTGCAGGTTGCGATGGCCAAAGTAGAGTGGGTAGAAGAACAGACCCAGGCGAGGAAAGCGGCCATGGAAGCTGCAGTGAAGTTAAAGTTTGTTGCTCTTTACTAACAAGTTTTGTGTCTGCAGGTTGCGATGGCCAAAGTAGAGTGGGTAGAAGAACAGAGCCAGGCGAGGAAGGCAGCCGTGGAAGCTGCAGTGAAGTTAAAGAGTTTGTTGCTCTTTACTGACTAGTTTTGTGTCTGCAGGTTGCGATGGCCAAAGTAGAGTGGGTAGAAGAACAGAGCCAGGCGAGGAAGGCGGCTGTGGAAGCGGCTGTGAAGGCAGCGGAACAGGAGTGGCTCGCTAGACACGAGGCAGAGTCGGAGGGAGACTTCGACGAAAGGCTGCAACAAGGTACAGATTCAATCCCTGGGTTTGAACAGTTATGGACATGTGAGGGATTGCAGTTATTTCTGAATTGGTGACGTACATGTAAAGCCTTGATGTGTATGAGAGAGCTTGAGGCATAAGCACCAAACCTCTGCATGCAACCCAACACACATACAGAGAATAATAGGGATGACCTGTGTGGTTGGCTACAGCAATCTATAGCAAAGCAGCATTGCACTATAAGCTACTTGAAAAAGCATCATGGTTCACCTCAGTCTAGGATGGCTGCTTTATCTTTCTGTATATTCATTCAAGACTAAGATAAAGTGGATAAAAATTTCAGCAAAAACATGCATTGTGCATCCAACATTTCAAGCTGTGAAACACATTACATGTATATGGTATAGTATAACTTTTCTTCGTTGTGACTTTCCAGCCAAGCAGCAGTGGCAGGTGCAGCAGGAAACAGCCGTCAGAGAGGCCCTGGTCAAGCACAAGGCACAGTGGGAGAAGGAGGCAGCTGAGAACAGGGTAAAATGAGGAATTATCTCTTTAAATATTTATCACCTATTAACAGTAAGAGAGAGAGGGAGAGAGACAGTCAGAGACAGACAGACAGAAACAGACAGACAGAGAGACAGACAGAAAGAGAGACAGAGACAGAAAGACAGAGACAGAGACAGAGAGAGAGAGACAGAAAGAGACAGACAAAGAGAGAGACACAGACAGAGAGAGAAACACACAGAGAGACAGAGAAAAAGAGACATCACATACCGGTAGTCTGGAGTTCTGTTGAAAGTCACCAGTGGCACGCAAAAAAAAAGAAACAGGACAAAAGAAATAAGTCAATGCTACAATATGTGATGTACAATTTCATTCATAGTACATCTATGGGTCCATCATTTCAATATGTCATTAATGAACTACTTCTTCCATTTTTTTTTCTAAGGAGGAGGAGTTCCACAGACTGTTAGCGACAGAGAAAGACGCGTGGTTCGCCCAGTCAGCCACAGACAAGGCCCAGGCTGTCCAAACTGCCGTCAACTCGGCTGAAGTCGAATGGCTAACAAAGAACCAGGTTAGTTTCTAGATATCCAAACCTTTCTCATGTTATGTAGATGAAGGTTGGACATCCAGGTAATAAGATATGCCAAAAAAGAGTTACTCAAGCAACTGGATGATTATGATTTTGAAAACAGACATTTCAGGTAGCATCTACTACCTTTCGTCAGTGACTCTTGCAGAAGAAATTTGATTTGCATATCAATCAATAGTTCGTACTAGTCTTACAAATGCCTTTCTGTTGCAACTCTCTAGTGTCACTGCTTATTAAATCTTTAAGTAACTGTTTTTTGGCGTATTCAAACCATTTTTTGTATTGGTTCTTTGGACTTTGTCTCATCTCATTAGCCTAACTGTTTCAGTGTTTGACTGTTGGGGCACCACAGATGATCTGATGACCATTTTCTCCACCCTTCTCGGTTGTCTGTTCCTCTTAACATTTCACTTAGTGTCATGCTGATCCATTCTCTGATGTTATCCTCCCATCTTTTCTGTTGCCCTAAAACTCTTCTGTCCTCCCTGTACTGTTCTTTGCAAGATGGTTTTGGCTAGTTTTGATTTGTCAACCAGGGTACATTCAAAGAAACCTTTTGAACTTTGTCGTCATCTTTCGAATACTTGTAGGAAACTGTTGGAAGGCAGATTGAGCAGGCACTTATAGCTGCCCGCAGCAAGTGGATGTCTGAACAGGCACTGGAGCGGCAGAAACATGGGCAGGAGATGGAGGTCCTCAGGAAAGAACAGTTGGAACAGCAAGAAGAAAACACTAAGAGAGAGGTTAGTGTATTACTGGGGTGTTACACAGGTTGTACTCATTGTACAAAACTCGTGTGTTATGTCTAAAGGTGGTTTGCCATACAAATTGTATGCAAAACAAACAAACCAAATGATAAATTTGTTCAGAGTTAAAGCTTTTGATCCAACACAACTGAGCTTTTGACCAGTCACTCTGGTCTTCTTCAGTAGACTGACCCAGTGAGTGTTGTCACGTGTTGTTTTTTGAGGAAAACCAGAGTGACTGGTCAGGAGCTCTAGTTGAGAGAATTTCTTTGTGTTTGATCTAAAGTTTTAACTTTTAACATAGTAACTACCAACACAGATGAACTTTCATGATAACAACTGGTAAATTGTGCCTGCAGGTTTCTGTCGCCCTGAAGTCAGCCAGGCTAGAGTGGGAGAAAGAACAGAAGAAGCAGAAAGACCAGGCGGTGACACGGGCTGTTCAGGAGGCCTCCAGACAGCTACAGCAGACTGGTGCAGGCAGGGAGAAACAGCTGCAGGAGACAATTAACAACCTTCAGGAGGTAAATACTTTTGCATAGGATATTTATGTTTTCTTTTCTTGTTGATCTACTTGAATGATACAATAAGCAACCTGTAGGAGGTAAAGACAGAGAATACAACACAATGTATTCTGTATCACCCAAGACACCAGCCCAACCGTGGGTGGATTGCCCGAAGGCCGGAGGGAGATCCGATTTGCGGGAGGGCTGGGACTGACGGTGATGCAGAATACACCGTGTAGTATTTTATTTATGTCATACCCACCTGATGTCATACCCACCTGAGAAAACACACATTTTCTCTGCAAAATTTGGTGGCCCTAAACAAAAATAGTAACTACAACATCAATTCCAATGTCCAAATCTCTCTCTTTCTCTCTCTATCCGGTTTAACGTTTGTTGTTCCCCATGTTCTGAGGGTTAGACGTGCTTGCACACTGATGCTGGGGCTTGATGGCAGCCCACCATTTGCCTCTGTCCTGTGGTTCTTGTGCACAGCATATGTCAATGTCCAAATCTGGATGAAATATTTAAATTATCTTTTTTTATATACTAGGAGCTGCAGAAGCTGAGAATAGAACAAGACAACATCATCCAACAGGAGCTTGGCACAGCTCGTGCAGAGTGGGACAAAGAGCAGGACTGGGAAAAACAGGAGCTTCAGAACAAAATACACGAGCATACCAGGCAGCTGGAGAGGTCAGAGGGTAAAGTTCAGGAGTACAAGAAGGAGCTGGAGAGGTTAGAGGTCAGATGGCGGGGTGAGTTTGACCTTGAGCGGCAAAGGTTGGACAGAGACCATGAGGTCGACTTGGAGACTGTCATGGTGGAAAAGGAGAGACTGAAGGATAGAATAGAGCAGGTAAGTTTGTGTGTTAAGAAACAAGTTTGAACTGTGAACAGAACACAAGAAATTGGACTTACCCAAATTTTTGACTGTACAACTCCAGTCTGTCAAGGGATGAACAATCCACCGCTTCCGTGACGTCGCGCAGATAACACACGTGACTCCGTGAGCAGTGGATCATAGGTTGCAGAAAGTCTGTGGCGCCCCCCCATCTCTGTTGAGTGATGGTTGTAATGCCCTGATGTAGATGGCCTCTTTAACCCCTAGTGCAAGTTTGTGTGTTTGTTTCTCATAACCAGTAAACTGCCTTAAAGTTTTAAGTTATTGGGATTTTCTTTTCTTTCAAGCAGAACTTCTGTTGCCTTGCTTATGTTTCAATGTCCATCAAATAAATTTTGTACAATTTCCATCTTCTTCCTCCAGTTGGAACAGCAGTGCAAGAGAAAGGAGATCCTCATGAAGAAAGATCAAGAAATCCTGAGAAGCAGCCTGGCCTCAGAGCACCAGAGGGACAGGGAGACCTGGGAACAAGACCAGGCTGGCCAGCAGGAGATCTGGGAAAGAGAACGGGCCAGCCTGGAGTCCAAACTGGCCCACTCGGAGACCAGGATAAAACGGCTGGAGGAGAGGTCCAGAAAGGAGCTGGAATTCCTGCAGAAGTATGATACAATCCATGTTCCCCTACTTTATACTGCTATGTAATTAACAGACGGATTCATTTGCAATGATTGTGGGCTTCTCAAGTAAGTTTAAACTGAAATTTCCAGCACAATAAATTGGACAAATTTCTACTGTACAACGCCAGTCTTTGTTTGAATTCCTGCAAAAGTACATAGAATTTTTACCATCATTGTCATGTATGTCTTGGAATATATAGTATACTGTCGTAACTAGCTCTTTATATAGTAGTATCATAATTATTTATCATCATTATTTATATGATTAAGTATACTTGACATTAGCTGTTGGGCATGTATTTGCAATAACCTTATACATTTATAGCAATCTAAATACAAGACACTTTCTCCAATACTAAGCCACAACTTGTCTGACATTGTAGGAACCTGAGTGCAGAACAAAAGGACCTGTTGGACAGACTGGAGGAAGAGAAGAGAGAATTGACAGAAGAATTGAGAAGAGCTCTGGAGGAGAAAGGAAAGCTGGAGGGAAAGCTACAAGGAGAAAAAGAGAAACTCAGGTATTCAGTCTATAACATCCTGGAAAGCTTGTTTGATTTTGCATGGTAGTATAGTTAAAACTGCCCAGCAAACCAATAAAATCAGGTCTATTCGGACAGGTGGTCACTATAGACAGGATTCTTTATGCTTGTGTCAATGGGAAAAATTATCTAAGCGACCAGCAAAAGGTGGTCCTTATGTAAAGATGGGCGCTCCTATAGGTTTGACTGGATCAACTTTAAGTTTATCATCTTCCATATTTATCAGTCAGCCAATGCTTTTCATGGATTAAAATCCCTGAGTTACAACTACTTCACTCACTCACTCACTCACACACTCACTCACTCACTCACACACTCACTCACTCACTCACTCACTCACTCACTCACTCACTCACTCACTTACACTCACTCACTCACTCACTCACTCTCACTCACTCACTCACTCACTCACTCATTTACTCACTCACTCACTCACTCATTCACTCAATACTGAGGCTTGATGGCAGCCCGCCAACTTGCCTCTTTCCTGTGGGTTGACATTATATAGGTTCAAGTGGTGGAAGTCCTCCCTTACCTTGTTGAACCATTGACCATGAGGGTTTGGGCCTTCCACATCCAGTGTGAGGATCTTCTTAGGCCACTCATCACTGTCCATTCTTTGGAGTACCTTATTAACTTAAACCTTTTTTATCAACTTAGGACAAAACTGGAGGGAAAATACACCAAGGAGATCTCAGCTCTGGAGACCAGGATATCGGAACTGGAGAAGGAACGGGCAGTTGCCATGGCAACTGGCCAGCCACACCCCTCGGAGAAAAGGACTGAAATGGTGCAGACACCCTGCCAGGTAGGGTGCTTTGCTACTTTTAATAACAGACAAATTCCTCAACATTTTTTAATAGAAACTTTATTTGCAAAATCATGCCCGAAGGCTAATTGCTTTTACAATCAAGTATACCACTCATTGCAATACAGCAACAGGAGACAGGCAACAACTGTCTGGAAAAACTTCTACTTCTACTACTACGCTAGCTATTATATAATAATGTTTGCAACAATAACTGTAGTTTAAACCTTTGTGTATTTATGTATAGATAATCGTGTACATGTAGATGTTATTCGTTGACGACTTTGAATTTTTATTTCTTGTCCATTTGTTACGTAGTTTGTTGTCCTTGTCCCCAGGGTTAGCCCTTAAAAATAGTAAAAAAAAACTGTAGTTAGGCAACCCTGGCTGTCATTTGTACAGCTGAACCAATAAATTTGATAAAACATGTTTGTGACATTTGTTTCTGTTGCAGACTGACTTTGATGTGGACTCCTTGCCAGACAGTGCCAGTGAGGGCATGCATGAACTCAGGAACCACTACCTCACTACTGTTAACAAGATTAAAGGTATGCAGCACAGAAACACTGTTCTCTCTCTCTTTCTCTCTCTCTCTCTCTCTCTCTCTCTCTCTCTCTCTGTCTCTCTCTCTCTCTCTCTCTCTCTCCTCTCTCTGTCTCTCTGTCTCTCTCTCTGTCTCTCCCTCTCTCTCGCCTCTCTCTCTTTCTCTCTAGTTCAGTAGTTGAAAATAAGATGTAATAAATTATTATTTCTTCTCAATCATGTTGTCTTTTCATTCAAGATTCAACAATCATAAATGAAATACCGTATTTAGATTAACTCGTTTATACCATTTTGTGTGTTTCTGTAGATGATGTTAAGCAGTTTCTGGAGTCGAGTCGCTCGCGGACAGCGGAGAGTCTTAAGAAGGAGGTAACACGAGAGAAGCACCTGACAGGGAGGAAACTGAGGAGGTACTACCTCCAGTGTCTGCATCAACTACTGGAGGAGGAGAAAAGGGAAGGGGGGCAGGGGTAAGCATTTTTTTTGTTCACTTCAATTTTCACCTCAAAACAAGGCTCATATGAACCACTTGCAAGTTTTGGGTTACATTATTGTGAGAGTGACTGAGAGTGAGTGATTCAGTGACAGATGTTCACCCTTGAAAGCATGGATTGGGGTTTTTTCTCACTCACTCACTCATTCACTCACTCACTTCTTTGACTCTCGCTCACTCTCACTGTTTCACCCACCCTCACTCTTTCACTTTCACAACCTCTCTTCTTCAGTCACTCAATCACTCACTCTCAATCACTCTCAGTCACTATCACACTCACTCATTCACTCACTCAAACACCCACCCACTCACTCGCTCACTCACTCATAGGGGCAGTCTGACAGTCTACAAATGTTGTCCACCTTGAGTGATCATATTTGACATACTAACTACTTGATACTGACTTCTTGATGTTTTCCCTTCCAGTAGTACCTTGAACAGTGCCAGAAAGATGGCTATCATGGCTCGAGCGCTGGAGTCGGCTTTAGACTCCGACAGGGACGACACCTCGACAACCTCAGCCCAGGACAAACCCAGATCTGGTCCCCGGACCCACCACGCTGAATCTGTGGGCTCAGAGAGCCACACCGCAGGGGTATCCACCAATGGGAACTCTCGGAGCGTTGCCAAGGGAACAAGAAGTCGATCCGTCCAATCACGATCGTCTGAACACCCAAACAGCAGGAGTGGTGCAAAAACAGGCGTAACATCAGGAAGGCACAAGAACTCGGGGAAACACACTGATACCTCAGACTATACAACTCAGAAACAGAGGCAGGACACTATGGGCAGTTACTTAGAAGAAAGAAACGGCTTCGAAGGCGCTAGTAGCAACCCGAAATTCACACACGCAAATTCTGCAAAGTTAGAGCACTCCAGGCAGTTCCATTCCATGGAAAGTTTGTCCACGACTGCAGGGGAGACAACTTCGGGGAGGGCTTCGCCTGTAAACGTTACAGTGAGAGCAAGAGACCAGTTTAAACCTCTGTCTGCTCACGCTCACTCCATGGAGGACCTTACAATTTCCGGTGGGAAAATCTCTGATCACAAAGCTAGTGGGGACAGAAGATACCATAGCAGTTCACAGAAAAGGGAAAGAGATAGAGCAGATAGCGTAAGCAGCGAGACTTCTGTCGAAGAAAGAACTGATCGATCTCAAAAGAGAAGACAGAGAGAGGTTGAAAAATCCTCCAGCAGGCAACCTGATTTCATTGGTCCAGAGAAATACAGGCACCAGCCAATCGCGAAAGAGAACAGCAGGTCAGGTGACCGGAGGCAGCCAATGAGAGTGCCCCCTCCCAATAGGGAGATGCAAGCCTTGTTGGCGGAGATGTCCGTTTCGCCAAAGAAGCCTGTTCCCTTGGTAACGCGACATACGCAAGCCCCCTCCCCGGCTCTTTCAGATATTTCTGCCGACTCCGAATACATCGATCTCCCCACTAGACTCGCCGTGTCCGACAAACCAAAACCAGGCAAAAGCAGGGAGAAAGAAAACCACCCAGATCAAACCAGCCACAACCGGTTCCAACTGGAAGATTCTGGTTACAGCCAGCGTATTCCGGATGGAACCAGTTCCGACCGGAACAACCAGGGTTTGTACAGAACTAAACCCCACAGCAGAAATGCAAACGTCACGCCACACATTAGCAAACCAGCTAAGGTTTCATCCTACCCTAAAGTACACGTAGGAAAAGATAGGCACGGAACCGCGCATAGTGTAGATGGTAGGAAATATACTGGCAGCTCAGTTCAGCCTCTTAGAATACAGAAGCTGTTACAGCAAGATAGCGGCATCGACAGTCCTTCAAATGGGGGGCAGTGATGATTTTTGGTTAGTGTAAGTTTGTATGTAGTATTTAGTAACAAAATGCAAGCTAATAACTTCTATCATGAAAGTTCATCTGTGTTGGTAGTTACATGTTTAGAGTTAAAACTTTAGATCCAACACAAAAATTCTCTCACCTAGAGCTTTTGACCATTCACTCTGGTCTTCCTCAGTAGACTGACCCAGTGAGGCTTGTCACGTGGCTTCTTTGAAGTGTGACGTCAACACTGGGTCAAAGGTATTTGGTAGATGTCGGCCCCCGTCGCTAATAACTTTGTAAAACGTGAGCAATTTTGACAGCACCTCAGGCATATATTATGTCTATTTCTTTTGAAGGTTGGAACATAAATTATATGAAATCATTAAAGTTATATTTAGTGCCAGGGTAGAAAATACATGTACAACAAATAGACATCTATATTTTGGTTAGATGTCTCAAAATTTCCTAAATATTTGTGTGTGTTTTTAAAGGACATTTTGTTTTACATGTACTGTTACATTCCCACCACAAAAAGGCTGCTATCCAATTCAAAACATATAGAGTGGATCATTACAATGATATATTTGGCATTTATTCAGAAAAAATTTTGACATAAAGATCATATATTTTCACCAGAAAACATACTTGCTGTGCACTTGAGCATATTTTACATACTAAGAGAAAATGAGTTTTTTTGTATAAAGTGTAATTATGATATAATTTGTGTTGTAAGTAATGTTTGTCCTAAAGTTGACTTGAATGAAATAAAATTCTACTTTCATGTCTGTTTTTCTTTCAAATGTCTCTTTCTTTAGCCATTTTGTCCTATAATTTATTTACTTTGTTTTACGTTTAAACAAATGTCAGCAAGTTAAGAGAATCAAAATAGGATATATATATAGGTCTTTGACAAGCAAATGCCTTACAGAGCCTTACCTAAGACAAATAATTTTAGCGATAGGTTTAATATCATAATAAGAATGAATGAAGAAAAAATTTCACAGACACAATCTTTTCCAAGTGAATAAGTTTTAATTTTTCAGCAATGGCCTTGACAATAATATCCAGTATCGCTGACCAGAATGATTTAAAGGCAAAAGGGATAGAATAATAATATTTGATAAATTACAATAATGCAATACAGTGATATATCTAACCCTACAGAGTAAGGCGTTTCAAATAGTGGTAATGAATTAGCCTCCATAGCATGCCAAAAACTGGTTTCTTGGCGGGTCTTTGGGAGCTTTTATGTGCTATTTTCTGATTGCATATAGACAACATAGCCGGCCTGGTTGAATTACCCCCGTTTTTTTTAGAATTGGGCTAATCAGAAAACAGCCGAAGACCACCAAACCCCCAGTTCTATAAGCCTGCTACGGAGGCTAATCAGAAAACAGCCGAAGACCACCAAACCCCCAGTTCTATAAGCCTGCTACGGAGGCTAGTAATGTATAGAATAAACCATGAAAGATATTGGCAGGAGTATATGAGAAAATTCAATTTTTTTTTTACCATGAACACAGTTGTTCCTCAGTTGCTATGCCACAGTTAAAATTATGGCAGCCAGAAAGGTACACATTACCTATATTGTTTGTCACAAAACTGAAGCATCTTTTGTATAGCTATATTACTTTTACCCTGCTAGCCCCTTTTCTTTAAGTGGACTAACCCATAAAGAGGCACAGCCATGACAAAGTTAGACTCTACCACCCCCAAAAGAGGGGAGTACATGAAGCAGTGTACAGATTTCTTTCTTGCAGCATTTTATCACTTTCTTAAACAAGTTTCTTGGAACTCTTGGATTTTGAAGATAACAATTTTTGGCATATACACAATTCATTTTTTATTCTAACGCTTAGAATGTGATTTTTTTTAAATTATTAGAAATTACTACCAAAGTAAAAGTCTTTTAAAGCATCTAGATTGAAAAATTAGCTTATGACACTTTAATAACAGCCCTTCCCAAGCAAGCTCCCCTCTGTACAGTGGGGCAATGTCAGAGCTGCAGTTCCCACCTGAAACACTAGGTGGCATACATGTACTGCTGGCAGAGTTTTGCCTGCATACTAGTACCTGATCTGGTATACATAGGATTTCTATCTAAATTTCTTGGTGGTTGTAATGTTACAAAAGTAGTACATATCCAGTACTGATCATGAGATAGAACAGGAATTTAAGTGACTGAGCGCAGGGATCTCCCCAGAAATTTAGGACAGAATGGAGGAGGGTGCGAAATATCGGTAAATTTGACCAAAGAACCCTGGAAAAGGGTGTAAAAACACTAGTTTTGAAAATTAACAGGGTGGAGCTGAGATAAGGACTGGGTGGAGGAGCTCCACTGCTCCATTGTTTAGGGAGGTCCCTGAAAGGGCTAACTGGCTGCAAAATGGTTGCAAGTTCTTTGTAGGCAGTATATGTTTGCTTACATACAGGTGTATGAAGAATGGACTAAAATGGTCTGGGGCTGTATTAACAATTGGCGTATTTTTAAGCATTGCTTGCAATGGAACTAATGAAATCTACTTGCTACAAAACAATTTTTGTAAAAAAAAAAAATTAACAAGGGAGTGAGTTTCCTAAAAAAAATGCAGTATTACAATAGGAAATGGAAAATGAAAGATTGTGATGAAAAAAACTATTTTTTATAAAAAAAAATAGTTCAGTTCAGAAATCAATTCAGAAAATGCGAATGCAGTCTTGTCAATGTATTACACGAAATGGATGCAAAATGGAAGAAGATGATGAAAAAATTGATCTTCATCTGAAGGAAGGCAGATTTGGCAGCTGAATGTTGGACGGAAGTTTCGGGAGATCCAAATTCTTCGCCGCTGACACAACCCTGGCTGGAGCCCCGGCCAATCCAGCCTGGGATAACAAACAAACAAAACATGTTATATAACAAGCCTTCTGATTGGTGAATTATTCCTGGGGTTGGGAAGCACGTCAGCAGAATGTACTGCGCCTGCGCGAAACCTTGATTTTTGAGAGTTTATGTTGACTTCTGGGTCAACATTGCATCAGAATTTTGCATGTTGCATAAGATATCTTTTCTGACATAACATTTAGAAACCATACACAGGATATTAACCTTATATATGCGAATACGACCTTATATAAGATGTTCTACCGAAGTGTTATGCACAATACATTTCAGGTTTTGCGCAGGTGCAGTACGTTCTGCCGACGTGCTGCTTACATGGAGGGTGGGAAAGACAGCCAATGGGAAACCTACACATGCAAGTTGTAGGGAATTGAGAGAGAGAAAGATGAGTGTTCATAGTCAGCCAGGAAAGGAAGGGCTGTTAGGGAAATATCTGATGAACAGGGCTGCAAAGTTGGGCAAAAGCTGGCAATTTATGATGGAGCCAACTTTTAAGATTACAGCAGAAATTATCAATGCATTACTGAGTACCTATAATATAACTGAAAGGACAAAATGATTATTTATAAGGCACAATGCAAGGATGGCAAGATCATGCATTGAAAGCAACATATTGGTTGAATGCTGAAGCTACATGTATTTTGGTTGTGTACTTTTGAATGATACACAGCCAAAATACATGTGGCTCATGCATTTGATTGATGAAAATACACATTGATGTTCATGTAATACATCATTAGAAAAATGCAATTTCAAGCTTAGAATAGACATAGAATTCACTGACTTTAGATATATATCTAGAAATACATTAACTATTCTCCAATTTTCTTACATGTACATAATTGTACTTCTTAACGGGTATTTCTGACATTAAATTAGCATAATGAGAGGTAAAATCATGAGTAAGATGAAGGAAAGAAAAGCGTGACTGTATAGAAAGGTTAGAAACCTTAACGGCCGAGGCTGCTCTCTCTGGCACAGCTGTCAAACCCGCCTGATGGAGGAACAAAAAAACAAACAGCACAGTTACCAACCGATCAGCACCATGGACAGGGGTTAGGGGGAGGTTTTTGTTGTTTTTAGAGCCAGCTTTATCTAGAACGGTTCTGGGCATCTAGTACCCTGCTTTTTCCACAACCATGCTCAGGCACAGTTCTGGATAATCCAGGCATGTCCAGATCTATACTTTATATCCAGAACCATGCTCAGACATGGTTCTGAGTAGTCAGTATGTATCCAGAACTGTTGATTTTTCCAGAACAATGCTCAGACACAGTTACCAACCGATCAGCACCATGGACAGGGGTTAGGGGAAGGCTCTTGTTGTATGAAGAATTATGCTTTATCCAGCACCGTGAGTTATCCCAAATCATGCTCAGGCACGGTTCTGGATAGTCCAAGGTTAGGGGGGAGGTTGGTTGGCCTTTGTTGTATCTAGAACCATGATTTTTCCAGAACTGTACTCAGACACAGTTCTGGACAGTCCACAAGTATTCAGAATATTGTGTTTCATCCAGAACCATGTTAAGGCACAGTTTTTGGATCAGTATCCAGAACTGTGCATGGCACAAATCTACATTCTTGGATACACTGAGAATGTAATGCTGCTTCGAAGATCAGCAGTATTCTTGTACACCAGAAATTGTTCACTTCATAAACTGCTTTGTGACTTTACTTGCCTTTGGTAAACTGAAGTAATATAAAAAGACCTGACACCAAATGCAGAAGGGGTCTTTGAGAATCAAACTGCAAAGTGTGACGTTAGTTTCATGCTTTGTCGTTAAACTAAAAACTGAGCATTCTCCACTGAATTGACTGGAGTTATAGACCCACTCCATGCAAGAAGAGTGTACATGTAAGTACAAGTATAGAAATGCTGCTGATCAATTGGTCAAAAAATAAAAAAAATGAAATAAAATAAAATAAAGCAAACAAGCAAGAATGAATGAATGAAGAAGTAAAGTCATGCAACAGATGAATAAATAATATATGATGTGTGTAATCATGCATGGATCTTAATATCATAGATAAACTTATACTTGGGTAACAGCACACTCACTCACTCACTCATTGAAAAGGGTAGGGGTTCAACCAAGAGTGAGTGGCTCAACCGTACAGTCTAGTCTTACACAGCTTGTACTTACTGTATAAAGTTGGTGTGTTTATACCTAAAGGTGGTTTATTGCTTTGGTTATGCAAAACAAACATTGCAATGACCCAGTGGGTAGAGCATTCGCCTTGCATTCGGTAGG